TCTGCAGGCATGGAAGGAGGCAACCTTTGGTCCACTCACTGAGATGAACAGTAGGCTTTTGGACTTTAAGAAGAAAATTGGTACAGAGAGTCAATAAATATCTGAAAATGACTCTCCTCTGTAATATGTTTTACGGCATCATGGACGGCGAGTTCTAAGATTCATGCAGTGAATGACGGCCAGATCTGGATTTATCTTTTCACAGCGGAGTTGTGGCTGCTTCTTTATAGCAGCCCATCATCATCAAAGCCAACAAGCTGTAAGCATCACATTCTACTGAGATGCCACAGCAGCCCCAGCGCATTTCAACAAGTTGAAATAAGAAGTTGGAGCTTGCACTTTCAAAAGGATGCCTTATGCATGATTAGGCATAAGTTTGACACTGACACTTACTAGTTGTACTTCTAGAATGTTTCTATAAGATTCCTCTTAAATATTACAATCTGCCGCTCCGAGTCCACTTAATAATTCAGCAGAGGCAGGGATGTGTAGTGCAAAGTAGTACCCCAGCACCAGAGTGTGCCACAGAAATATAACATCTTTTTATTAATCTTCTTAAAAGAAGTCTGTATTTTCTAACTTGCATGTGATGAGAAGTTGTTTTTGTGTTGTTTTCTTTTCCCTACACATCCAACAGGTGACGTGAGTCCAGTATGGACAGATGGAAAGCTGAATGACCTACTTAAATATCAGGCTCTGTTTTCAGTCAGCTGAACTCCAAGTATCATTCAAAAGAAGCTGGGATGTGCTAAAATAGTAAAGGTGTTTGAACAACCCATTTCATGAAATTGGCTATTTACTGAAAGTGGCTATTTATTGATTGTTGTATTGATGAGGGAGCATTAGGACATTACTTTTTGTTGTTGTTGTTGTTGTTTGTTTTGTTTTGTGGAATTTACTGTATATTCATTCAAAACTGTCTTTTCACACTTGATGTTTATTGTTTGGTTTGACACTCATAAAGAGGAGGCAGGACAAGTCCCTCCCGTATCCAAGCCTGTGGCATGGCTCCAGTGACTTTGCATTTGAGATTATTTTTACAGTTGCTGTGGACTGCTGTTGCATCCTCTCTTCCATAAATTTGTTAGTAAAACCAGCACAAATCAAAACATCTTTCATGCAGTGCAAGTGGCGCTGCACGCAGCACCACGCCTGTGTGAGCGGAGAGCTGCAAAACATCAGATGTTGCAACACTGCCATGTTTTTCAGCCTTAGGCTAATGCAATTAGTTATCCACTGCTCCATTTACAAAAAAATGTAAATTGTAGGAAACAAGCTCTACTCTTTTTAAAAATCCTAAAGAATGTTTGTCTTTTGGCAGGCTAAGCTTAAAGGTGTTTTTCAATTTGCATATTTGTTTTGGGTTTTTTTGTTTGTGTGTTTTGTTGTTCTTTCAATTCTCTATCAGTTCCTTCTCAACAGTTTATCACACTGATGCAACATACTCGTATGGTAGAGTATTGAAGATGAAAAGTGGACATTATAGCATAATGTCACTACCGTATATTTTAACTAGTTAGCTTAGACATTCTTCATTAGATCACATGAAATTACAAGATTGTTGAGGTGCTGCCCGGTGGAGAATAAACCACCCCTGTCATGCTCTTAGGTCTTCGACTCAGAATGATCAGTTTTTGGACTTTCAGATTCAGTTTTTTGTTAAATTTTTCACTTTTATACATAGTGTGCTTATTGTTTACATTTTTATGGTTGTGTATTCCTTAGATATTTTCCATTTTTAGTCCTAGTTGTTGTTACAGTTTGTTTATTAGTTCTGTCAGTGTTTTTCTCTGTGATTTCCTTCTGTGTAGCTTCCTTATGTTAAAATGGTTTGATGCATGCATCAATCATCCGGGTAAGGAAAACCCAAAAAGTTGATTCTGTTCATCTGGACGCAGCGTTTTCAGTGGGAGAAGCCTTTCGTCACTCATCCAAGTGACTTCTTCAGTCTTTAGCTGCAGGTTTCCCAACCTTTTAAACCACACATTTGCATAATAAGTGAAACTAGCACCACTGGCAAACAATGGGCCGTGAAGTCAGTTTCTTGATCATTAGTATGCAAATTGTCATGACCGTTGATCAACAACCACTGATCCTCACGTTAAAGTTAATTTTATGCCTCAGTTTCCCTTTTTGGTTATTATTACTTCCGTCCTGTTTTAGTTTGATAGTTAGTTATCTTCTGTGTCTTATATTTATTTTTCTTCCTCCTGTGTGATTCTGTGCACCTGTGTCTCGTTTCCTCCCAGCTGTGTCTAATTCCCATTAGCCCTCAGCGTGTGTGAGCATTGACTACAATCGTTGCTTTGTTCACTGTGTCACTGTCTGTTGCCCTTGTGTGTTCCTTCTTACTGCCCCATGTTGTTTTGGATGTTTGTACCCTCTGCCTCGACTTTAATAAAGGTTAGTTTTTGTTTTTTTAGCCTCAGTTTGGAGTCTCATGTTTTGGGTCATCTTCCTCCAACCTTTGACACCCTCGTGTGTTTTTGTTATCAAAAAGTTCTCAAGAAAATATCCATATAACAGTGATGCCATGCATTTTTCTAAAGAATAAGTTGTTTTATTTTTAATATTTTACTTGCAATTTGCCAATTATAGTTTTCAGTCAGGTTTTTTTCATAAGGTGCTCCTCCTATTTTTTCTCAGCCATGGATCTAAAGACACACCACCATTATAAACTTACTGCAAGTCATTGTATATATATTATATATCATAACATATAATACATTTAAATGAAAATACCTACTGTACCTGCTGTGGGTTATAATGTGCAAGTGCAATTCCTCTTGCAACTTTATTCTTCTTGGCACAAGTCACAATGACAACATTGTATTGTTATGTGCAAGTCATGCTAAAGTACAAGCACAGATTCTGTGGCCATCACTTAACTAAATTTCTTTTTTGTTTTACTTTACTACCTTACTTCTTTTCTGTTTGGTTTTCTTTTATTTTCCAGCGCTGTGCATATTATTGTGTTTTCCAATCATTTCGTTAGTGGTCGAAAGTTTGTAACGCTAACTTTGTCTCCAAGCCTCTTTGGACTGTTGCCAACAGCCACACTGGACAATCACACTTAGGCCAAGGACCACAGTTTTAGAGCCATGACCAAATTATTTACTCACATTAGTCATGTGTGTTTACAACACATCTTTGGGTTCTATACTTTTATTCCTAACAGGAAGATTGGCCGCAGAGAAATCAAGTCTCATTTAGAGATGACAGCTTATGGTTGTCATGCGCCACAGAATGGCATGTGACCATGACAGCATGACAAAGAAGATTTATTTATAGACCGAAATTACCAGTAATGATACGTTTTGGTCACGCTGTGGTTAGATCAACTCCATGTTTTTGTTTTGAATGTTGTTTTTCTTGATTACAGAAGTCAGATTTATGTTAATAGGAAATACTGCAAGCGTCTGTGAGTGTGTGTGCATGTGTGTGTATGATTGACTATAGCAGCTAGCTGTTGATGCGGTTTCATTAGCAACACATAATTTAAGTAGGTAAAAGGAAGCTCCAAAAATATTATTATTATTTTTTTTTAGTTTTGGAATACAAAGTTCTTTTGTCGTTTAGATCACAATTAGTGGTTTACTGTAACCATAACATTGAATGGTAGATTTGCACTTCTTTGCAATCAGATGAAATAAAAGACACATTAAATATATAGCTGAAATGCGCTCAGTATTGATATGAAGACAGAATAATTAATGATTGTTTTTCCAGTCTTTGTCTGTGGGGTAATCAGACAACTTGACATGTACCCTATATATAGCAACAATTCATCCTGCCCCTGTCTTCTGAAGAAAAGGGCAAAATTGTATGTTTTGATTGTTTATCACTTGGCTGACAAGCTCTTTCAGTGTCTTCAGTAAAGTCTGTTTGAAATGTTAGCCATGCTGTTGCCCATCATTCAGTCTGGTGCCCCAAGCTTGGGTGCCCCAAGCTTGGGTGTCCCCAAGCTCAGATGCAAAGGTACTTTTTAATATAGTATCACATATAATAAAATGGCAACTTTAAGCCATAATATAATTATATAACAGTAGGTATTGGAATAACATACCTGTTCTAATGGTGCAAAACATATATTCTGGGTAAACCCAGGGCATTCATTTAATAAATACTTATATTAAAAAAAAGTCTGCGCTAAATTATTTTATGTTTATAATTTATAATATTTTGCTATGATCGACCTTTAAATGATGTATTATTACAGTAGGCATAAAAATTTCACAGTTCCCTTTAAGAATTTCTAGTATCTGCTGCTGACAACTTATTTTCCCTTATATGGAGCCGTTGTTTTATTTAAGAGTCCATATCTTCTTCTTTTTTTTCTTTTTTAAATATAGTAGACACTCCACTGAAAAATGTAATAATTGTTAGTTGCAGTTTTTAGAGAATTGCAGTCCCTGTGTAAAAGAGATTTAATAGTCTGCATGGGGAAAATGTGAATATAAATTTTATATGAACATAAAATTCAGAATTGGGATCTGGCCCACCAATTAAAGATATTACACCGGATTAATTACTTATTTTAGTGCGTGGGGTCTTCTCCTCAAACCTACATCTGCATCTACCTTTTGTCTTTATGCAGTCGCAAACAGCCAGGCCTATATGATGCACTCCATTGTATAGCTGGGTAACAATGGCACCAGCTGTTTCTGCAGACACAAAAAGTTGCGCGTGTGTGTGCTAATATTAATAAACACACACGCGCACACGTATACACACTGGGTGTGTTTTCCAGACGCAGATTCCCGCCCTGCTTCCTATCCGCGGTCAGCCGCTCATACGGTGCCTCCGTTACAGATCTATTCTTACAACTGCCTGAACCCCATCCACGTTGTGTGAAATCCGTGCGTCCTCCCCGTCACCACCGACGCCACGCCGACCTCGTGACTGCCAAGACGTCTGCCCAATAGTAGCTCGAATTCTACGTCATTCAGTCTTTCAAAGTCCAGTCAAAAACGGGTGGGCGGGATTTCCGTGGGCCTGGTATTCACGTTTGGTTGTAAAGGTAAGCCCTGGATGGGATTTTTATTTTTTTTTTTAGTTTTCTTTTTCTTTTATTTAATCTTCACGTTTGAATTTGATATGGTTTCATACGTGCGGGTGTGCTACTGTGTCCGCTGAAATAAACAGTGCCTGCCGGGCAGTGGTCGCCCGTTGCTCGCTTGTACAGCAGTGTAAAGTATTCTAAGCAAGAGAACAACGGTGATTTCCCTATAGTACAGCAATTGTATATATGTTCTGATTAATGACAGTTAAATAGTGGCTTTGACGAGGCACGTTAAAAACACCCTGAAACGTTTTAGTCTCTCTATTACTCCTCTATTGCTAAGTTACACGGTTGTAACTTTGCTTTCTGTAACAATTTAGCCGCCTGTTCCCATAAACAGGAGGTCTATTAAATGCTACTGTAGAAGAAAAATATAAAAATAATTGATGGCTATTTATAGCTAACTCAGATGGCTCTGTTTACATCTGTTTTACCGTTCACGGTTAGATGTCTTTACTGAATGCATTCTGCATACTAAACACTGCTGCTTATGGAAACACGCGTGGAGACAAAGCATTTGTTGAAACTTAAAACCTGGGTGAATATGTTGGACTAATCAGTTGTTGTTTACACACTCTTGTGTTACTTTCTAGCTTTTTCCCCGCGTGTGAGCTGACACACTGCTACGCCGAGGACAACGTGTATCCACCCTACCACACCTCTTCTTCAAGCAAACTCCTCGACTCTTTTGGATGCTATTTGAAACTTGAAATTGTTCTTCAGCCTTTTAAACGGAATGAATTTTGAAAACACATAAGTTGGAGAGCTTCTAGTAAAAAGTGTGTTGAAATAGCCCACTGGTGGAGTTTGTCAGCGTTTGAGGACGTCGCATTAGGCGTTTCTGGAAGGGAAATTAACTTAAAGCTGCAATGGATCAAGCCAGCGGTGGGGAGGATCCAAATAAGCCCTCTAAAAAGAAATCCAGCGAGGATGAGGGTAAAAACAAAAAGCTGGTAGGTATTATAATAGCTCACTCGTGTGTAATGTGCGTGGAACTAGGGTGTAAGTCAACTGACGCATCCTGTAATCCCAGAAGCAGCCTATTATGTCACACTCAACTTTAGTAAGACCCAGAAAGTTGCACTGCTTTGCAGCTGCAGAAAGTTTCATGTTAGTTCTGTGTCAAAAAAGAAAAAAGATTTATTATAAATGCTAAGGACGGTCTTCCTTTTACTTTTAAAGCTCATCATGAAACCAAGGAGCAGGACAAAGCATATTCTCGATGCAGAACTTCCCTGTTTAGTGCAGGACGAGACACAAACAGTAATTCATGTGTTGTTGTTATGGTTTAATGTAGGGGCTAATAGCAGCCAGAGTTGAGCAAAGAGGTACTGTTTCGCTGAGTGCTTCAATTTTCGAGGCACTCAGTGCATCATGTGATTATTCCTGTCAATACATCTCCTGATAGGTTTTTGAAGAGCATCCTTGTTGTGACAGTTGGGGGTCTTATATTAACCTCTTAAGCCCCAAGCCTACCTGATCTCCTGCTTTTTGCCCCCGTATCAGGGGGCGTTGGGGCTTAAGAGGTTAATATGCACACAAAGCACAAGTTAATTTACTGTATGACTCAGTGTACAGCATGATGTACATGATGTTTGTGGGGGCGATTTATGAACAGCATGAGTGTGTGATGTTGATAAAACTTGTCCTTAGGCAGCTTTTGGGCAGTGTCTGTGAGATAACAACTGAAAACCCATTTAACATTAATTTATCGTCATTACATTGGATGGACTTTGTGCAGTAGTTTATCCAGAGGAAGGATTGTGCTTATTTAGAAAAGTAGCAAACCCGAATCTACATCATTAAAGCCGTGGTGTCGTTAGGCCCGACCTGCACGCCATATCTTCCCTGAAATGACATTGCAAGATTTGGTGGAAGTTTTGTTTTGGCTTATGTGGAAATGCTTAAACAATCACTTTTGGTTTTTTAGTCATGCTGTTCTTAAAAGTTCCTGGGAGAAACTAATACACTTTTCTGAGGAGTTGTGTAAACAGCATCTCTTGCAGGATCCAAAATCTGTAATTGCCTTATTTGGTAAACTGTAGCTACAATCTTTTATTTACCGTCCACAGTGCGATGTTAAATGATAAATCTAAACCGTAATGCTGAGGTGAAGTGCACGTCAGTGCCTGCAGAAAGCAGTGGTTTCAAGTTATTTTCCATGAGCAGAAACAAAAGAGCTTGGCTGCCGTTTGATTTTCACGTCTGTTTTTCCACATTTGTGGAAAAAGGGAAAGTTTGGCTGCCGTTGAACTTCTCATGTCACCTCCCAAATCTTCATTATGAGCTCTGTTCGTGTTGCTTTATTTTGTGACTTATTGGCTGGGTAGGTCACAAGTTTAGTTGCAGCCACAGTTCCTAAATAGGGAACTGAAAAGTTTAGATTGACTAGTGTTTCTGTCTTCACTCAAGCAAACTGGAATGATTGAAGGAAATGTTTGTGTTAATGCCTCTGATATTTCTTTAGGTGGTGCTCATTGTTTTTGAGCATTATTGCATGTTTAGCATTTTTTAGTAATTGTCCTAAAACTGAAACACACAAAGGCAATTGCTGGTTGTTTACACCAAAGTTAAGGTAAAGGAAAGAGTGGCCAAAAGAACTGCCTGACAGGAAATCCCAAAGTGGGGCGAATTGACATGCACTCCCAGAGCTACTAATGGGTGTTCCTTTAAGGAATCGTTACGACAGCCTTAAACTCTTGACTATCCTGCCTCCCAACTTTAAGATGTTTGTGAGAGTGCCAGAATGACATCATCAGTCAGTAAATCACTCAAGAAGTCTATGTAAGACCTGTGTTTGGTTTTGTTTTACTCAAAAAATGGTCTCATGGTCACTGTTGTGCAACTCTCTGAGCACAACAGGCAGAAGCAGCTTTAAATGCGGCTGTTGCAAAAATACTAACATTAGCTTTAAGTTTGAAAGAGGAAGCTGATTATTCTTCCTTGAGTTCAGTTTTGATTTGTCGTCTTGTGTTTATCCCAACTGTTTAGCTGTCCACAGTCGTGTAAATAAGCTAAATTATACAAATGCAGCTGTTTAAAGGGCTAATGCAACAAAAGTGCAAGCGCTATGCAACTAAATCTCTTAAATTTTACTACACATATGCAGGGTTGTGTTGTGACATTTTTGGCATGTAGTGCAGGCTGTGTGGATGTGGAACAGACTTGAGGGAGGGGTAATACCAGCATCAGTACTGGTTTCATAATCACACCTAGCGCTGCTAAAGAGCACTGTCCCATGTGCTTTGGTGATAAGAAAACGCAGAAACTGGCGTGGTTTGGTCAATGCAAAGTCAAATCAGTCTTTAGAGGAAAAACACTGAAAGCTGTGTGTTTGTTTAACAAGTCACTGGGCAGCATTACATCACGGCAACACCATTTGGGCTATGGGCCCAGGGTGTAGATACTCAGCATAGCCAAGGACATTACAACAGCACTGCAGTCTTTTGGGTCATAACTCAAATTTTCAATAGTTCCTAGCTTCTCTTTGTTATAATGTCCTTGTCTTGAAGTTTTGCAAAAGTATGACATCCAGGAGAACAGCCAGATGGAACGAGCTCTTTAATAAAAGGAATTCAGAGGAGCTGGTTTGACCGAGAGGGAGAGAACTGTTACTCCTTTTGAATTCCAGATAAAAGATGATCTCATAGTGTAGCAACACAGAGGAAGGAAGCATCACATTGCATAAATATAATAATAACACTGAGACGTTATATATTAGGATTAGGAATGTGGGAACCAATAACTGGGAACTAGTTCTCAGTTATATATATGTATATTGTAGTAGACTTAGGCACATGCATGCCTTTCTTTACTCTACACTGTGTGAAAACTCAGCAATAAGCTAAGATAAGATAAGTATTGAATATCAATATTTTTCACTATACTTTATCAAAGTTAGACCAACAATGTGGCAAGACTATGCTGAAGTACTCAGTATATTTATCAGGTGCTTTAGCTCTGGTGGCTCTGTGGTGTAGTGGTTTACACGTTCGCCAAACAAGCAGAAGACCCAGTTTGATGTTTCGAGGAGACACAAATCCCTTGGAGGTTGCACTAAGAAGTGCTTTCAGTGTGGTTGAAAGCACTTCAACCACACTTCTTCCTACATAACTCTAAATCAGACTTTATTGTGAATAAAGTCTGATTTAGAGTTATGTAGGAAGTCTTTATAGAGCCTACAATGCATAAGTGACTGGGATCAGCCAGCTTCTTTGTTTGTTCTGGTGCATTATGTGTCATTTCCAGGTGTTTTTGTGTGGGGCTATTGTAAGATACAACGATTTTAAAATTTCTGCTCAACAATCAAAGTGCTGATGATCAAACTTTCCAATTTGTAAATACACAGTATAAGATCCAATCTTCTTTATTGCCTGCAGGCTTGACAGGTAATGTAATGATGTATACAATTTGTACTTGTTTCTTTCTATAAGAAAATAGTTTATAGTATTCAGAATCTCAAACATTGTTTGTTCCTGTTTGCACTGCAGAGCAAACTGGTCAATAGTTTGCTTTGTAGTACTGTGATAAGCATCTTCTCCTTAACCTAATTAATTTATAATACACATCGATTGCAAATTGGTGAAATGGTTGGTTGGGAGTAAAGTGGTTTAAGCTTT